CGGACTTCTACTACGGAAAAGATGTAAATCAACGCTGGATTTGATATATTTCGTCATCTATGCTCCAACGCTAATGTATGATGAAATTAATGTACTTCAGGTAAATTTGAAGATCCACCGAAAAGATCATATGCCATACATACGATTTCACGATACATAGAAACTCACAGCATGCAGTTGAATAAACAAGGTGGACGGCTTTTCCACTTTTAAAAACACCAGTATTAAACCACATCTCAAACCACCTTCTCATTTTTGCAACTAGTAGCTCAAGTATATTTGCGCAAACTTAAATTGAACGGTTTGTCTAACAGATGTCCATGGTTTCCATCCAAAATCTTTGAACAAAACCGTTGCTTTCTTCGTACAAAATCGTCGTTGCATACGGAAGCTAGAAAGGGAAAAAACTAAATCTCGAAACCGTCATAAATCAGTTTTTGCTCGTTTATAAGGATTTTAAGAACACACTGGTAAAAGCCGCTGAGTCTAAGAAGAATGGAGATAGTAATCGGAAATTCATCAATTACAGGACCAAGGCAACGGTCGTTCGGCATTAATACAAGGAATAATTACGTCTAGAAGGATATGGAGCTAAAGAATAACAGAAAGGATGACTATGTTGTCGTTGATTTTCCTGCTTGTAAAATCCGTTATAGTATTTTATCGATGGAAAATTGTATAACATTTGGTTCAGATAGAATGAAGATCAAACACCTGAAAAATCTAACACTAACCCTATCAATACACTTTCAGGGCATTTTAAAAGTTATGTGTCAAACGGCGAAGTTCCAAGACAGTAGAAAACAGCAATGATCATGACGTTGCATAAAAAGACCTAAACGACACCGATAACTAACTCCTCAATCAAGTCCTTTTCAGAAGCAATAATGAAACACTAAGGTAATCCCCATTTAAAAAAGCGATTTCGATATACTGTATCCACAATGTTGGAAAATTCACTGAAATATTTTGAGAAGAAATTCACCACTTCTTTCCTTACCTTGAATACTCAGAATGTAAATTATTAACCATAAATTTTCGTCATAGCTACAAAGTAGCACGAATGTCTTCTTTCGCAAAATTCGATGTTACATGTGCTGTCACAATCGAATAACAGGCATTTTCAGTCTCTCAAATGATTAACGGTAAAAAAAACCACGTCAAGAGCGAAACTAAGATGGCGAAGCTCACGGACATCGCAGTCAGGCTACCCTACTCCATTCGTTGCATATTTTAGATAAAGATCCTGAACGACTTAGACAAAATGTCTTCGATATGTCGTACACTTCCCTTTCTGTCGATGACTGTTCCATTGCAGAATTACGAAATTCTAAAACCACATCAACGGAAAATTTAAACAGGATTACAACAGCAGCAAAAAAGTACATGGGAATCCAATACTGTTCATAGAAAATTTCCGTTTACTGCTTTATCATGCTAAAGTAGTCAGTAATCCAGGAAGGATGAAAACTGGTGCTAATTCTAATGCAAATAGGATTATCCACCCCAAGAAAACAAAGATACTTCAGTTTCATTTATTAGCCGGCGAGTAAGCAGTAATTATTCTAAATTTGTCAACCAATAATGAGTGAAGCAGTTTGATTTTGAATAGGTGAATCAGCTGAAGGTTACCGACATTTACAGAAACACATTTCACCATTTTTTATCTTCTAAATATATTTTTAACACGTCCACAACCATGAACCCACTTCGATAATTGCTGACGATTTTCTGCAAACAGAATACTTAAAGACTTGACAAGCGTATACAAGAGATTTTACCTTCACAGTGTAAAGTTTTGTAAAATGCTCTTCGGACATCACTAATACTACTTTAATCTTGAACTTTCCAATCGAAATTTTAAGAATGCAAAGTGGAACAACAAAAATCAAAACGTCTTTTTTAGTGTGGGCGCAACAATTGCCCCAATTGATCACGCATTCAGGACATGTGTTGGCTAAAATTCCTCTTCAATATGCGCTTCGCAAACAGCCTTGAATGCAAAGACAGCAAAAAGAGAAAAAAGAATTTAGTACTCAGAATATTTAGAAAGAATGTTGGCACGTAAGTGCCGATTTCAATAGTTTTTGTTTCAATTGATAAAACTCATAATATACTTAGATATACAGGTCTATATTTGAAAGCAGAAATAATTTTCGATCATGTAGCATTTTTCTTCTCTAACGATCGTTTCCCGAGGTGTGGTCCATTTCATAAATGTTTGCACGGTTTCTAGATATGGACCACAGGAAGTAAAATGTTTGATCGCATTAGAAGAGTTGCACCGTGTTGTGGCCCAGTCTGCTGTTCTTCTCTTCCATATGTGACTAACCTACATTTTATCTATACGGGAATAAAACGTGAAATTCTAGGTTCGCAAACTGACCAAAGGGTCTTTGAATGATAAAAATGAGGCTCTTGTTGGTACACTTCTTAAGAAAAATTTCATCTTCACATCATCTTTCCTGGTTATTGAAAGACCTGGGGTACTTATATTCGTCGTGTAACCAAACAACCGTTTATTGCAAGTCGTTTTCCACCGGGGCATGGAATTTTTGTGGATTGGTCTTCTTTCTGATTTGCATGCAGCTCTATGCTGATCCTCAAAACGATGATGTAGTCGGTAAAGTAAGGTTTGTAAAGTTTGTAGGAAACTGTTACATCTTTTGTTCGCTTCGTTCTAATCCCGCAACTTCATTATTAATGGCAACAATTCGGCCACATATCGCCCTGTCGAACTTCTTTACCCATGGGCATGGTAAGGCGGAAGAGCTTGATTTTATTGGCAGTAGTGCGGAAGCAGTCGGATGCACTAGTAACTCAAAAGAATGACTTTCTATGAACCTCAGCATAAGTAATCGATATATTTATTTATATATTCATATAAACTGATCTTATTGAGGTGATGCGAGCTTGGTATAATTATCTTTGTTGTTGTTCGTCGGTGGCTGACGCTTCAGCGATTTCGCGTTTTTTAGAGACTAGACGTATTTTATGCAACAAAAGCTTAATAATTCGGTGTAGAAAATCAAAGTATTAACAAAGATTTAAGATACAAATAGACGCCATATTGATTAGAAACTACTCACCGTGCTGTTACGAGTGTTACGAGTTTATGCGAAATACAAATACAACGATGCCGAGATAGTTCTCGATGCTCTCGTTGAGCAAACACGAGGTGTTACTTTATTCTTTATTCCGCTAAAGCTAACGTTTCGGCAGTAACTTCTTCTTCAGAGTTTGGAAGGGTACATTGATTTACTATGATAACGCTTCAGTATATTGCACCTGAACTCATGCAATTCTCATCCTTCTCGTCAGGACAAATTATACATTTTCCGAGCTGCACAAACGATCATACAGGCGGTTGCGAACTGACAGCATAGGGTATTGAGTGGGAGGAAAATAAACGCCATATAATTTTCAGAACCACTTTTTCTTAAGCACCTCTTAATGGAGTAATTTATTTCCTTTGACATGAATGGCAGCTTAAAAGGGATTTTACATATCTTCGAAACATTATTTTAAGGAGTAACCCTACGCTTTTCTCTACTCCGAATGGTTTCTGCTTCGCAGCCATTGGAAATCGCTATTTTTCGGGCCAAATATAGCAATTATTTCCTATGCCCTACCTTGTTCACACATTTTTAGCCGTTCAGCACATGTTTTTGATGGGTGCTCTCTTCATATGTGAAGGATGAGAGAAGTAGTGAGCTACTATATTTTTAGCACATGGTTTACGATACCACATTGTTATATAGCCACTTTCCAAGAACTTTGTTTGGGTGGCTAAGAATGGAAGCCAGTTCTTGGTTGGTTTTCCATGATCGTTTGTGCACCTCAGAAAACTGTAAGTTCTGCCCTAACTGAAGAGACGGGGATTGCATGAATTCAGGTACAATACACTTGATCCCATGTAAGGCACGCGGTTAGCAATACAATGAGGAAACGGGTAGACCATCTTGGATCTGCATAAAAGAACATCTAGATGGGAAAGTTAAAACTCGTTAAAGCACTCCTCTAGGTACATGTGGGACACAAAAGTACAATGGCAATGATTTTAAAGCGACTGCGCGGATCCTAGCACAGGAATGAAAAATATCAACGCGCCAGACTCTTGAGGCGGTTTGGATAAATTTCAAAAACCCAAGAATGAACCGGAAAGGCGAACGCCTCACTATTACACGAGACTTAGCGCCTTATTTCAAAAAGCTTTCGGACCGAGGTGTGTCTCGCTTGCAATCCCACGTGAACAACACGCGGGCGGTCCACTCGTAACAGCACGGTGAGTAGTTTTTGATAAATTTGGCGTTGATTTATACGCTAAATCTTCATTAAGACATTGGTATTTTCAATGAATTATTAAGGTATTGTTGTATAAAATACGAACAGCCTCTGAGAAAGGCACAATCGCGAAAACGTCAGCCATCGACCAACAACAACAATAACAACGACAACTATACCAACCTCGTATCAGCTCAGCAAGATAATTTCATAAGAACATCGACTGTATCACCTGTAGCCCGTTGATCGTCGAGCGACTCGCGCGTGCGCCAGGAAATTTTCCATTTTCCCCTATCGTCCAGGGTTCCACTCGCTCTAGAGACTCGTCGAGTATCATATCTTTCTTCCAGGCTTTTAGCGAAGAACTCTGACCATCGGGTCGACCGTCTTCCTGCAGTACGTTTGACATACCGAGAAATCCAGTCACTAACGGCTCTTGTCCATCGGTTGTGGTTCATACGCATTACGTGTCCGGTCCACCTTATCTTCGAATGGTTGGCGTACAGAACAGCACCTTCGATTTTCGATCGTTGACGCAGGTCGAAGCTTCGGATCCCATCCCTTACTTGTGCAAAACGGAATACTCCTAGTATTGTTCTTTCGACTGCGCATTCAATAACGCTGAGTAATCTTTCGCCCTGCCTACGCAACGACCAGGTTTCTGATGCATACACTGGAGCAGGAAGTACCGTTGGGTCGAAAAGGTGGGCACGGTGTCAGGTGTTCTTTGTTCTTTTCACTACATCCTCGATGCTCTTGAAAGCTCCCCAAGCCAATCGTTTTCTTCTGCTCAGCTCCGGAGCTAGGCCGTTCATCATATTGATTACCCGACCTAGATAGACATAACTGGAGCATTCGGAGATATTCGTTCCGTTGAGCGTGAATGGGGCATGCGAAACAATTCGTTCGTTCTTCATGAACAACGTTTTTGTGAGATTTAGTCGAAGACCAATCTTTCCACAAGCTTTATCAGAGTCGTCAAGCATACGTTCCGCTTGGCTATTATTTGGTGTTATAAAGACGATGTCATCAGGAAAGCGAAAATGGTACAACTGCCGACCGTCGACTTTTACTCCCATATTATCCCATTCCAATGTTCGCTTGGCGTTCTGGAGGGTGGCGGTGAACAATTTTGGCGAGATAGCATCGCCTTGCCTAACTCCTCTTTTGACTTCAATGTTAATATCGATGTAGAATGGTGATATCTTGGTTGTGAAATTTTTGTGCAGCTCACGAAAAATCTTTATGTAATGAGCTGATATTGCGTAGATCACCCTTCTTGAACAATAACATGGTCTTGCTGGTCTTCCATTGAGTAAGGACTTTGCATTCAGACAAGCAACGTGTGAAAAGCGAAGTCAGTGTGTTTACGAGGACTGGCGGAAGGTTCTTCAGGTGTTCTGACCTTATCCTGTGCAGATCTGGTGCTATTTGATTTTTCACCGACGAAATGGCCCGACGTAATAGCTTGTCGGATTTCGGAAGGAAGAACCGTTAGTACAACATATCCATCCTCCTTTATTTCATATGACGGGAGGTGGACGTCGCTATCGAAGAGATATGAGTAGTATTCGTGAATGATTTTCTCCATTGCCTTTCTGGACACTGTAACTGTTCCGTCTGAGCCTCGGAGTGCAATCATCTTGATATTGTAATTGGCTAAGCTTCGTTGGACTTCGCTAATGCTTTTCCCAGCCTCTGCAGCTTCGGCCGTTACTGCTGTTCTTCTCTCTTTAAGAACTTCTTTTATCGGCAGTCTGCATTGTTTTGTAAGTTCAGACGTCGGTTGGTGGTTGCCTGCAGCTCGTGCGATTCCACGCTGGCGTCCCAGCTCGAGTGGTTCTGGAGACAGACGTCTCTTGGTGTCTTTCGAACTTTCAGTTATCATAGCGCTAACGTGAAGATGTTGAATGGGCCGATCGTATTCTTCGTCGATGTTATCGACAACAGCATCTTCCCAACAGCCGACTAATGAATTGAATAAACTCCAGTTTATGGTGGTTCTGGGACTTCGGTTCCTGAATTTAACAGCTTTTTCTCCTTTCCGCGAGAAATGAAATCTTGCTAGAAAGAGACGGTGGTCTGATCCCGTGTAGAGCTTTGGGCAACAGCAACATCGGTTGGGCAAAACGTTCTATTTACTGTGATGTTGTCTATTTCTTTATGGTACTCTCCATTGGAAGACTACCACGTCCAGCGTTGAAGGTGGGGCTTCTGGAATTGCGAGTTACCATGGGTGGTCTTGGTCCCCATGATAAACTCAGATAGCCACTCACCTTGTTCGTTTCAATCTAATCGATAGGTACCAAAGTGACATTCTTCAAACGTTCTTCTTGGTCCAATCCTGGCGTTCAAATCTCCAAAGATGACCTTGAAGAATGTATGGTCTTCTCTGTAGGACTTATCCAAGTCTATATAGAACGCCTCGATTTCTTCTTCGTCATCGTTTGATGTCGGCGCGTAAACAACGAAGATTGTCAAAGCCGATATTGGTTCACATCTTTTTAATCGTAAATGTCCGATTCAGGTTGTAAGCTGTTCGAATGAATCGATGTTCGTGGACAAACTCGTGTTGACGAGAACACCGACTCCTCTACGGTCGCATGTTTCAAAGAACAGTTCTTCTCCGGTGC